CAAGATAAGCTGTGTTCTAATTGGAGAAAGCAAAGCCGACATATAAAAACCTAAATTTGCAAAGTAGTGTTGAGATTGTTATTACATGAATGTTCATTTTATGAGAATATTCACTTCAGAGTTTCAATAATATGATTTTCCATAGACATTAACTTACATGTCTGTTATCAGAAAATAGTTAATGCACAACTTTTCAAGAAAATATGTGCGAAGTGTCTATGATACTACTGTTACTCTACACACATTACATTTTAGGTGCTCTATCTTTAAAATTTTTGTGTTTTTTTAGAGCCCCTGTCAATGGGCATGATGTCTTAAATTACAATTGTAGGCTATTGCTTGCCTAGTATAATTTGATAACTCAGAGTAGCTAAAGTTTTAATTTTTTCTTTCTTCAAATCTAGGGGTTTTATTTAGTCCACAATTTGGAGAGTTCTAAACTTTCTTTTTTATTTGTTTGTTTAGTATAATTGATGTTAACAGTATTAGTGTCAGGTGTACAACATAGGGATTCAACATTTCTGTACATTACAGGATGATCACTGCAATAAATCTAGTTACCATCTGTTATCTTACGAAGTTAATACAAGATTATTAACTATATTCCCCATACTGTGTATTACATCCCCACGACTTATAACTGGCAGTTTATACCTCTTAATCCTTTGCACCCATTTCGAACCTCCACATCCTCACCCCTCTGTCAGCCACCAGCTGGTTCTATCTATGAGTCGGAGCTTTGTTTCTTTTGTTTTTGTTTTTTGGACTCCAAATTTAAATGAAATCATGGCAGTATTTGTCTTTCTCTTCCTTATTTCACTTAGCATAATTCTTGTAAGGTTCATCCATGTTGTTGCAATGACAAGATTTAAATTCTTTTCTATGGCTGAGTAGTGTTGCATTGTACATATATATCATTTCTTCTTTATCCATTCATGGACTCTGCGTTTCTTTCCATTATCTTGTCTATAGTAAATAATGCTGCAATAAACATAGGTATCATGTATCTTTTCATATTAGTGTTTTCATTTCATTGTATAGATACCCATTAGTGGAATTGCTGGATTATATAGTAGCTCTATTTTTAATTTTTTGAGGAACCTCCATACTGTTTTCCATAGTGGCTGTACCGGTTTACATCCCCACCAATAGTGTACAAGAGTTCCCCTTTCTCTACATCCTCGTCAAACTCTGTTATATCTTATCCTTTTGATAATAGCCATCCTCACAAGTGTAAGGTGATACCTCATTATGGCTTTGATTTGCATTTCCTTGATGATTAGTGATGTTGAGCATCTTTTCGTGTACCTGTTGGCCATCTGTATTTGTCTCCTTTGGAAAAATGTCTTTTCATAACCTCTGCCTGTTTTTTTAATTGATTTTTTTTTGTTTTTTTGCTATTGAGTTGTGTAAGTTCTTTATATATTTTAGATATTAATCCCTTGTTAAATATATGATTTGCAGATGTCTTCTATTTAGTAGGTTGCCTTTTCATTTCATTAATGGTTTCCTTTGCTGTGCAGAAGCTGTTTAGTTTGATGTGGTCCCATTTGTTTACTTATGCTTTTGTTTCCCTTGCCTTTGGAATCAGATCCAAAAAGATATCACTAAGGCTTATGTTAGCAAGCTTACTACCTATTTTTTCTTCTAGGAGTTTTATGGTTAAAGGTCTTACATTCAAGTCTTTAATCCATTTTGAGTTAATTTTTGTACATGGTGTAAGATAGTGGTTTAGTTTCATCATTTCACATGTAGCTGTCCAGTTTGCCCAGGACCAGTGATTGAAGAGACTGATTACTGATTTAATCTCCTTAGTAGTAATTGGTCTATTCAGATTTTCTGTCTCTTCCTGATTCATTCTTGTAACATTGTATGTTTCTAGGAATTCATCCATTTCTTCTAGGTTGTCCCATTTGTTGGTATATAATTGTTCATAGTAGTCTTTTGTGATCTTTTGTATATCTGTGGAATCAGCTGTAACCTCCTCTTTCATTTCTGACTTTGAGTGAGCCCTGTCACTTTTTTCTTGGTGAGTCAGCCTGAAGGTTTGTCAGTGTGTGTATCTTTCCAGAGAATCATCTCTTTGTTTATTCATCTTTTCTATAGTCTTTTTAGTCTCTCTTTCATTTATTTACACTCTGATCTTATTTGCTTCCTATGTTTAGGTTTCTTGTATTCTTTTTTTTAATTCCTTTAGGTGTAAAGTTAAGTTACTCATTTGAGGTTTCTCTTGTTTGTTTTTGAAGTTGGCTTGTATTGCAATGATTCCTCTCTTAGGACCACTTGCTGCATCCTATAGATTTTGGTATGTTGTATTTGTTTTTGTTCATCTCAAGGTAGTTTTTGACTTCTCCTATGACTCAGTTGTTCAGTAGTGTGTTGTTTAATCTCCACATGTAGTTTTTCAGTTTTTCTTCTTGTAATTTCTAATTTTAAACCATTGTGCAGTATTTGATATGATTTCAGTTTTCTTGAATTTATTGAGACTTGTTTTGTGGTCTAAAATGTAATCTGTCCTGGAGAGTGTTTCATGTGCATTTAAGAAGGGCGTATATTCTGTTTTTGGGTTCTGTATACCGTTAATGCTTGAATGGTACAGGGTTAGGGACATTTAACTACTGCCTAGTCAAAAATCCATGTTAACCATCTGACTCCCCCCAAAATTTAACTACTAATAGCCTACTGTTGACTGAAAGCCTTTACTGATAACAGTCGATTAACATATATTTTGTATATTGTATGCGTGATATACTGTGTTATAATAAAGTAAGCTAGAGAAAAAACATTAAGAAAATCATAAGAGAAAATATTTTTACAGTACGTACTGTATTTATCAAAAGAAATCCACATAGGATGGAGCTTGAGAGTATTTTTTTAAAGTGTGTTTTTAAGATTTTATTTATTTATTTGAGATAGAGAGGGAGAGAACATGAGTGGTGGGGAGGGGCAAAGGGAGAGGGAGAAGGGGACTCCCTGCTGAGCAAGGAGCTTGACGTGGGGCTTGATCGGGGCTTGATCGCAGGACCCTGAGATCATGACCTGAGCCAAAGGCAAGTGCTTAACCAACTAAGCCACCCACGCGCCCCTGAGCTTGAGAGGTAAAATAAGTCAGAGAAAGAAAAATACCGTATGATTTCACTCATATGTGGAATTTAAGAAATAAAACAGATGAACATATGGGAAAGAAAAGAGAGAGAGAGGCAAACCAGGAACAAACTATAGAGAACAAACTTAGGGTTACTGGAGGGGAGGTGGGCAGGGGGATGGGTTAAATGGGTGATGGGTTAAGGAGGTCACTAGTAGTGATGAACACTGGGTGTTGTAGGTAAGAGATGGATCACTAAGTTCTACACCTGAAACTAATATTACACTGTATGTTAGCTAACTGGAGGTTAAATAAAACTTGAAGGAAAAAAAAAGTCCGCATATAAGTGGGCCTGCATAGTTCAAACCCATGTTTTTCAAGGGTTGCCTGTACATCTGTTAAATCCATCTTGTATAATGTGTTATTTAAGACCAGTGTTTCCTTAATGATATTCTGTCTGGATGATCTATCCATTGATGTAAGTGGAGGATTGAAATTTCATACTCTACTGCTGTCAGTTTCTCCCTTTAGGTCTGTTAATATTTGCCTTATATATTTCAGTGCTTCTATGTATGGTGCATATATAACTATTCTAAATTTTTGCTGGATTGACCCCTTTATTGTTATTTACTGCCCCACTTTGTCTTTTATTACTGTCTTTGTTTTAGTCTTTTTTTGTCTGATATTAGTGTAGCTGTACCACCTTTCTTTTCCTTTCCCTTTGTGTGGAATATCTTTTCCATTCTTTCACTTTCAAGTCTGTGTGTGTCGTTACTTCTGAAAGAGTCTCATGTAGGAAGTATATAGATGTATCTTGTTTTTTCATTCATCCAGCCACTATATATCTTTTGTTTGGGGCATTTAGTTCATCTACATTTGAAGTAACTATTGATAGGTAAATACTTAACTGCCATTTTGTTAATTTTTTTCTGACTGTTCTGTTCCTTTTCTTTTTCTCTACCTTTGTGGTTTGATGACTTTTTTTAGTATTATGGTTAGATTCCTTTCTCGTTTTGTATATTTACTATAAGTGTTTGGTTTGTGGATATGATGAGGATCACATATATCCTCCTATGTATAGATCAGTTTATTTTAAGTTGATCACAACTTAAATTTGAAAACACTCCTACTAAACTGCATTTTTAATCCCTCCCCCATTTTATGTTTTTGATACTGCTTTTTACATTTTTTATGTAACCTTTAACTAATCATTGTTTTACTTAATTTTACTTTTTTAATTTTATTAGTAGCTTTATAAGTGATTAATTTACTACCTGTACTATAATGTGCCTTTTCTAGTGAGATTTTTACTTTTGTATGTTTTCTTGTTTATTAGTGCCATTTCTTTTCAGCTGAAAGAAGTCTTGTTAATATTACTTATAAAGACAGTTTAGTTATAATGAACTCCTTTGGTTTTGCTTGTCTGGAAAACTCTCTCCTTGAAATTTGAATGATAATCTTGCTGGTTAGAGTATTATTGGTTGCAAGTTCTTTCCTTTCAGCACTTTGAGTATCTCCTGTCACTGCGTTCTGGCCACACAGTTTGTGCTCAGATATCTGTTGATAGCCATATGGGTTTTTCCTTGTATACAACTAGTTGTTTTTCTCTTGCTGTTTTTAAGATTTTCTCTGTGTCTTTAACTTTTGACATTTTAATTACAATGTGTCTTGGTGTGGACCTCTCTGAATTCATCTCATTTGTAACTCTTGGACTTCCTGGACCTGGATGTCTGTTTCCTTCCGCCAGGGAAGTTTCTAGCCTTAATTCTTCAGATAAGTCTTCTGCCCCTTTCTCTTGCTCTTCTCCTTTAGGGACTACTATAATGAGAATGTTCTTCCACTTGATGTTCCTTGAGTGATCTTCATTTTTTTAAAATTCTTCTTTCTTTTTGTTGCTCTATTTGGGGGGTTCTACTGCCCTGATTTGTAGATCGCTGGTCCTTACCTATTTGATTCAGTCTGCTATTGAACCCCACAAGTGTGTTTTTCAGTTCAGTTATTGTGTTCCTCAGCTCTTTGACTTTTTTGCTATTTCATTTTCCTTCTTGAAGTTCTCATCCATTCCTGTACCACATTCTGTGAGCATCTTTATGAGCATTACTTTGAATTCTTTATCATGTAGATCACCTATCTCTATATCATTAAGGTCTTTTTCTGAGGTTTTTGTCTTTTTTTTTTTTTTTTGAAATCTATTTCTTGGTTTCCTCATTTTGCTTGACTCTGTTTCCATGTATTGGGTGAAACATCTGCCTCTCTCTCTTGAGGGAATGACCTTGTGCAGGTGATGATCCTTCTCATTCAACCTTGCCCTAGCTCTTGGTTGTCCTTGGAACCTTTGTGATTATCTAAACCACCTTATTTATTCTTGATATGCACCTATTGTTGAGGTTGTGCCGTGTCCTGTCAGTGATCCATGGGGAGGAATCTCATTTAGCACCTAGTTTCAGGTTGTTTGGAAGCCACTCCCTCAGGCAGCAACTTTTAAATATGCAAATATATACAGTCCTGTTCTCCAGACTGGAGATCTGGAGATGTCCCCTGTGTGACAGTGGCAAAATTCCTGACTCCAGAGAAGTGTATAAGCTCCTTTCTGGGAAGGCTTGTCAAACTGTAGTAAGGCCGGGGGAGGCGCAAAACACGGTTTCTCCCTGCTTTCACTTCCGGGGAGCACCTTTTTCACCTCTAGATGTGAGGGAGACCTGAAGCCTGTTCCTCAGGCTGAAGCTTCCAGGCTAAAGAAACAGACCTTTTTTACAAGAAGACATGTTGTGTTTCAGTCCGCTGTCTGTGCAATGCCCTATGGATGGTGGCATGCCAAGAACAGTCTTTCTCATTGTTACAGTCCCATGTTGCTCTGAATGCCAGCTCTCTTGGCCACCAGGGCCAGGCAGTCAAGTGATATCTCCTCTGTGGATTGCACATGCTCACTGGCTGTAGCAAGACAGCTGGAGAGTGTAGGGGAAGGGGCACCCTTGCTGGCTTAAGACTTCAAAAAGGCAGTGCCTATGTGTTTCAGCAGTGCTATGGCAGAGTGCCTCATCTGTGTGTCCACTGGCTTTAGGCTGGGTACAGGAGAATGCCGCAGGCACTTGTGCTCACCAGCCTCAGCCTGGGGGCAGGGAAGCACTGTAGCCACCCACGCTCTCTGGTCTCAGCAAGTGTCATGTCCACTACCCCTTGCTTGTCCCAGCAAGGCAGCAAACTTTCTTGATTCATGGTACCTTTAGAGTGTCTAATCTTTTCACAGCGTACTTGTGCTAAAAGAAGTACCTAACAGTTCCATTTATTAAGTAATGAGGTCCAAACAGCTTAACAAATATTTATTTTAACAACGTAATCTCCATTTGAAGAAAAATAATAGATAAATTTTTAAAAATGATATTTTTATTTCATTTTTAAGTAGTCAGAGTTACTTGACTGCCGAAATGTATGTGCCTTTTGGACACTGCCCAACTCCTCAGACCTTGGAATCCACTTGGACACTGCCACCCTTATTTCCTATTCTTCATTGACTTTCTTGCGGTCTCTGCCCTTTAGCATAGCAATCACTAAAACTCAGGTTTGCGAAAATGATGTCAGTGAAAGGAATGTAGTGTGATCTAATGTTGAAACTGAGCAGTCTTGTGAGGTGTTCAACAGATGCATTTCTTCGGAATTTTCCCTCAGAAATTGTCATGGCATCCCTCTAAGTTGGCTGCAGGGGTGCCTTGGGGCAATGTTTAGGAACTGTGATCATAAATATTTATTGAACAGCTGCTGTATGCCAGGCAGTGGGGACCCAGTGCTTAGTAAGAAAGACCTGGACCCTACCTTCTTAAAAAGTTATGCTCTTGTAGGAAATGCTGCTGACATTAAGGAAGTAATAGAAATGTGTTGGATTTTGTGAAAGAAAAGCACATTTCAAGGGTACCTCACCCAATTAGGAGGGAGAAAGACATTAGTCACCTCATATTATCAGTATGCATTTATGGAGCACAAAGCTCCCTAAATGTTAATGTGTGACTTTTAGTTTTCTTTTTTGAGTCATCCCTTCTTAAATCAGTCATTTTTCCAAAATAAATTTCAATCTAAAAATTCTTTCCTAGCTCTTAAATTGTAATTTATTTAATTAGGTTGAGTAACTCCTTTTTATTTGACATCATTTAGTGTAAAGAATAGTAAGAAATAGTTTGTTGTTTTCAGATAGAGATTTCCACTTATGTGAGTAATTATAAAAATATAGTGTAAGAGATGATTTTTATTGTGTGGATTAGAGCACTAGGTACATTTAAATCTAGGAAAATTAGGCACCTATTAATAATGGCTGAAAAACCTAACTGATGAATAAATTTATAATCTTTGAGAGATTAAAAAAATGAAGCATGAGTTACATTGCTTTTGTAAATATGTTCACAAAATTCTTACCCAGAGGACTTTGCAGATTTCCTTTGTAGTGGCTGTGTGATAGCAAACAAAACAATGTGAAGTTCAGTACTCCTACTATAAGGGCTAGTTTAAGTCACACACCCAAGTTAGCTTAGTCCTGACATTTCAGAGATGGAACTCAAAAGGAGTTGAACTCCAGAGGAGCCTGGGTCCTAATCTCTACTCCACAGCTTTGGGATATTTAAAACATCACATATACAAATAATATTTTAAACAGAATTTTTTCCCTAATCACAGGTGTTCTTTAAAGAAATTTTCCTATACATTTTGGAAACTTCTACCAGCTCATTTGACCACAAATGGATGGTTATTCAAACATTGACAAGGATCTGTGCAGGTATTTGAAATTATCCTTATTATCTTTTCTTATTAAGAGATATTTGAGGGATGCCTGGGTAGCTCAATTGGTTACGCATCTGCCTTTGGTTCAGGTCATGATCTCGGTTCCTGGGATTAAGTCCTGCATCAGGCTCCTTGCTCAGTGGGGAGCCTGCTTCTCCCTCTGCCTGGCACTCCCCCTGCTTGTTCCCTCTCTCTCTCTCTCTCTCTCTCTCTGTCTGACAAATAAATAAATAAAATCTCTCTTAAAAAGAGAGATTTAAAAGCCCAAAATATACTAATATTCTTAATGCCTTTTGTTAAAAGTAATATATTATATTGTTACAGATGCTCAGAGTGTAGTGGATATTTATGTAAACTATGACTGTGATTTAAATGCAGCGAATATATTTGAAAGACTAGTAAATGATCTATCAAAAATTGCTCAAGGACGGGGTAGTCAAGAACTTGGTATGAGTAATGTTCAGGTAAGAACTTTAAAAGCATTTTCAAATTTAAACTTGGTCAAGGAAGAGCTATGTGTTTCCTTAAAAGATCTTTTTGTTTTTATTCTTTTTATGAATTATTTGTAGGAATTGAGCCTGAGGAAAAAAGGTTTAGAATGTTTAGTGTCAATTTTGAAGTGTATGGTTGAATGGAGTAAGGATCAGTATGTGAATCCCAACTCTCAGACAACTCTTGGTAAGGTGACATTTTGTAATCCTTTGTCGTTTCAAGTAAATGGTATTTTGAAGAGGATAGTTCCAGTTGCCATTAGGCCAGTTTTGTGACCTCTTTATTCCTTTAGCTGATAAGGGAAGCATTCTGTATGAGTTAAATACTAGCTTTAAAATTGTAAATTTGTAGTACTATAAATTTATAATAGATGTGTTTCCTAAAGAACTCAAAAGGTGTCAAGTTATTTCTCCCTTCAGTAAGGGGAGTGAGATGCTGATACTAGCCAGCATTTTCCCTGCTCAAAGCAAAGAAAGCCTGGATATATTTAATAAAAATTTCATCTGTTTAGAATCCACTCAAGGGATGCCTGGTGGCTCAGTCATTAAGCGTCTGCCCTTGGCTCAGGTCATGATCCCAGGGTCCTGGGATCGAGCCCCGCATCTGGCTTCCTGCTCAGCGGGAAACCTTCTTCTCCCACTCCCGCTGCTTGTGTTCCCTCTCTTGCTGTGTATCTCTGTCAAATAAATAAATAAAATCTTTAAAAAATAATATAAATAAAAATAAAATTATAAATTTCCAACTTAGTTATCCAAACCTTTTTCTTTCTAAATCTTCCTAGAAATATTTAAATAATATGTTAAAGTGAAGCATATTTATGCAGCTTTGTGAAAAGATAATTATAGGAGAAATTTATACAAGTCAAGTTGTTTTAAGAAGTTTGTTCACCTTTGTTTGACATTTACCCTTACTAGGAGAAAAACGCATAGCTACAGCTAGTATTCCATCAGTCAAGAGTCTTTTGAGGGAAAATTATTTCTCATGAGGCATGAACTGAGAGCAGAAACCCAGTGGGTACTTAGCACTGCAACTGCAGAAAGAACTTTTAATGGTGCACACATTCTAATTCTGGTGTGTTTTAATATCATAGTATATTGTCTGTGATGGCACTCAGTATTTTGCTTGTGTTGCATAGATCTAAGAAACATTGAAATTTCTTGCCTTACTTGATGTTTTTTTTAACCATTTACATATTTTTATTTGAAAGATTAATTTACTGTATCAGTCTTTCTTCTCACAGGTCAGGAAAAACCCTTAGAGCAAGAGACGAGTGAAATCAAACACCCTGAGACAATAAACAGATATGGAAGTTTAAATTCCTTGGAGTCAACATCATCATCAGGAATAGGCAGCTACAGTACACAGATGTCTGGCACTGATAATCCAGAACAATTTGAAGTCCTAAAGCAACAAAAAGAAATAATAGAACAAGGAATAGATTTGTGAGTGTCCAATTTTAAGAAGAAATGTTACTGAATATCCTTTTGCTAGTACTGTATCACCCTTGCCCTGGGTTTCTCTGCATCTTCAGAATATTTGTTCCTTTCTCATTACCACCTTTCATTGAGTAAAACCGGGCACAGGTCTCCTGTATCCAAGACTTCTAGTGGCTCATTATTCAGCTCTCCTTGTTTATTGCAATCTAGCCCAAGAGACCCCTATAATACACATTAAATTAATTTTGCAGCATATCTTACATGCTGTTGATGAATATCATCTCAGTAGTTTGCATTGTTCATTTAGTAGCTCAGTTATAAAATCCCGCATTATATTTCCTAAGCAGATGACAAGTCAAAAAATTTACAATGTAAAACTTCTAATAGCTAGCTTCTCATTGCTCCTTTTATAGGTTTTATATTTTCTCCAGTTGGGTTACAAATGTGCTACTCTTGTTACTGATCCATTGTTATCGATTTCAGTTTTATATGTTGATACGGTAATAACCTCCTTTTCCAACCTGGCTGCTCTACCAGACCCAGATCTTGTAAAGTCAGTTTTCCCACTAAGCTGTATGGCATTGGCCTGCTCCTGGACTATTTCGTATCCAAATAGTACCATGCTGCTTTCATTCCTCTAATTGCCCATCTTTTTCAAAGAGAAACTGGAAGGAAGAATGAAGTTGCTGACATTTCTCCATGGATCTAGCTACTGTAAACTGTTAAAAATTCCCTTGTATCTTTACCTGGTTTGCTACTTCTCCTGTAAAGCATTTCTTCCTGACTTTTAAACAGTACCTTTTGGTGAATGTTCAGGTTCCCAAAAAAAAGACAAAATGTATGCATGTATATTGTCATAAAATTATAAAATCTCACAAAATTGCCTCAGGAAATAGCCATTAATAGTTCATTCATTCCAGTTTTTCAGTCGATATTTATCAAAGTCCCATCTGTTCCTGACATTATGCAAGGTCCTAGGGAAACTTGATGAATGAAACAGCCATGGCTTCTAAGGGACTCGGTTTAGTATGTGTAATCAGATACTCATATTGAAATTCTCAGCAAGTGTTACTCAGCAAACATATATTTGGTGTTTGGGACTGTGTGCTAAGAACCATGAAAGCATTGGTTCTTGTTTGTGTTTAAGATTACAGCCTAAATATGGGGCAAAAGTGTTTTTCTAAAATAATACCATGTATTGTCCATAATAGTATACAAAGTGCTGCCAAGATATGATAACTCTCTTTGAAGTACTTGGGAGTGAGTTGGAGTCGTCACAGGACTGCAAAGTGGAGGGCTCCTTAGTCTCTAGTCGGCCTTTCAGCCCCTGGACTTGATCTCTGCTTCATACTTTCATGTGAATGCTTTCATGTTGCTATGCTCTCATTACACTCTTTCATGACTGTGGCACCATTCTGTCTTGTTCCTCCTACCATTCTGATTATCCATCTCAGTCTTCCTGTGGGCTATTTATCTCCTGCATACAGCTTAGCATTTCCAGAGTTCTGTCCCTCAGCCCTTTTCTTACTTTGTAATTTCCCCTAGAGGATCATGTTCTTTTTCATGACTTCAGCTACTGTGTATGTGCTAGCATGTCACCACTCCCCAGTGTTACTTTTAACATAAATACCTCTGCTAAAGTCTAGACTCCTGTCCATAATTGCCCGTTGGACATCTCTGTTGGATATTGCTTAGGTTCTCACACTCAGTGTGTCCATAACCAAATTTACCAGTCTCCATTCTCTTCATAATCAACTCCCTAATACTGTAACCAAAAACAAAAGACAAATAGAAAACTACTGTTTCTGTATTTCTTATTTAGGCTAGTAACCCCAGCATGCTACCACATTTAAAAGCTAGAGTCCTGGGAATTACTTATATTTTCCCCTTGGATCTAGTCTGTCACTAAATCCTGTTGATTGTACTTGCTAAATATCTATGCTATTTATCTCCTCTCTCCATCTCCCGCAGCTGTTTTCGCAAGTCAAACCAACACCGTTTCTTGCCTTGACTCATGTCATCTTTTAATTGGCCTACCTTTTTTTTGGTCTTATTTATTCTGTAGTCTTTTCTCACACTTAGCTAGAGTGATCTCTCTTGAATGAAAGTCAGCTTCTGTTTCTGCCCCCCTTTTGTTTTTAAAGAATAAAGTCACAGCTTCTTGTAATAGGATATAATAACCTTCATGATGTAGGTCTGCTGGACTCTAAGCTTCATCACCTGCCTTCTTTGGCTCACTTCATCCTTCCAACAATGCAGAGCTGTTTGTTACAGTGTCATGCTGTTTTATGCTGCCATGTGTTAGTATGACCCCTTCCTCTCTGAGATGTTTTTTTTTTTTTGAAATACGTAGTCCTCCTTGAAAGCTCAGTTTCACAGGCACCTGCCCCAGGAAGTATGTCACAAGCATCTGTGTTTGTTAACTTCCTCGTCTGTGCTGTCTTCCTGGTCAATATATGAGTTACTGCATTGTTACTGTTACAGTTTTTAAAAATCAAGCTTATTTTATTAGGGAGAGAGCTTCTAGAGAGCAGAGATTGTGCTTATCTCAGTGAACTATGTTTGATTTTAATGTATGAATTAGGACTTGACAGGTCCTAGGTCCTACAGATCAACTAGAGCTGTACTGACAGGAATCGTCGGGACAGTACAGGTAAGGACGGTTCAGACAGAGAATGACGTGCTGCCGCACAGAGGAGAGGAACATCGAGGACTGTTGCTCAGCACCGCAGAGGCAGGGTCAGGGGCAGGCGCAGGAGATGAAATGAGAGCATTGAGTTGGATCCGGATTCCAGCAGGCCTTACTCTCCATGTAAACACATTTTTATCTTGTTTTTCTTGACTTTGGCCTACTAGTATTGAAGGATTTTAGTCAGAGGAGGAGTAGCATCAGGTTTCTCTTTTGAAACAATTACTTGGCCAGTAGCCTGAAGGATGGATTAGAATGTGAGCAAAACAAAAGATAGCAAGACCATTTAAGTACTGTTAACCAGGTGACAGGTGATGAGGGACCAAAGTAATTAGTGGTGTAATAAAAGTAGAAAGTAAATGATGTGGAAACAAGGAGGTGACCTTTGAACTGGATCTGTAAGCATGAAGGGGAGTTCCACAGTGAATGGAGCAAGTAAAGGCCGTGTGGAGGAAATAGACTGCAGAAATGCATTCTGCTTAAGGAATGAGAACAGGATATGTGGGAGTAGGTGGGTGGGAGGGGATGAGATCAACTAGAGCTGTACTGAGAAGGAGTCTGTCCATCTGGTCAGTTTGGACTTGACTTCAAAAACATTGGATATCTAGGAATTTTTTTAATAAAGGAAATGATGCTGTCAGATTGTTGTTAAACAGTCACCAGAATTCTTTACTTTAAAAGCAGGAAATGGAATTAATCAGTGGATGTATATGGAATGAACCAAGATTACTTGAGCATTAAGGAGAATATAAATATTAAAAGCATGAGATATTTAGTATCTATATCCTTAGAGCTTATCTACAACATGACATTATCTCAAATAGTGAAATGGTCCATATCATTGATAAAGATGGCCTTTTGCTTCAGACTCTTTTCTAAGAAAAGAAAAATAAAACTTTGCATAATGTAAAAAGTTTTGTATATTCATGCATTGATTATATTAAATAAACTATTTTCTGAGTTGTATTAGAAAATTAATTTACAGTAGTTTAAGATCTTTTCAAATGATTTTCTGTTTCTAATGTTTGTATTAACTTTAACATCATCTAGATTTAATAAGAAACCAAAGAGAGGAATACAGTACCTCCAAGAACAAGGGATGCTTGGCACTACACCTGAAGATATTGCCCAGTTCTTACATCAAGAGGAAAGATTAGACTCTGTAAGAAAACCCATTTTTTTTATTCTAACCTTCTCTATAAAGTTCCTTTTTAAGTTAATAATGATACATACTGTTTCCCCTTTAAAAGTGCCCTCCTAAGTATGTAAGTAAAACTTACAAAGAATAACCTAGGTATTCTTAATTTTGCTTTTTAATTTTCTAAACTCAATATCTTTTTTTTAATAAACACATTTAGTGTGTTTAACTTTTAGTTTCACGTTTGAAATAGTTAACCCTGTAGTCAAAACCTATGAATCTTAGAGATTTTTCTGCTCTTGAAACCTCTCTGTGGCAAATGTAACATTTCATTAGGATATCAATTTTTTTATCTTTTGTTCTTTAGACTCAAGTGGGCGAGTTCCTGGGAGATAATGATAAATTTAACAAAGAAGTCATGTATGCATATGTGGACCAACATGACTTTTCAGGAAAGGACTTTGTTTCAGCCCTTCGTATGTTTCTGGAAGGATTCCGTCTTCCAGGGGAAGCTCAGAAAATTGATCGATTGATGGAAAAATTTGCTGCAAGATACCTCGAATGCAACCAAGGGTAAGCAAGATTCAAATTCAGATATTTATTGGTTGCCAGCTATGTCCAAGACATTGTGGCAGGGAACATCAGAAGATTCATCATTCCTTACACCCAGAGAATTTGGATTGTCTGTGATCTAGAAGTGATAAGACAATTCCATAAAAACACTGTAGTATGAGCTAGAACATAAATCCTGAAAGAGAAAATTATGGGGGTTTGAGATGATTTATTTAAATGCGACTGTAAAACAATAAAAGTTTGTAACATGATACATTTATTTTTCCAGACAAACCCTTTTTGCTAGTGCAGATACTGCTTATGTTTTGGCTTATTCAATTATCATGCTGACCACAGATCTTCACAGTCCACAGGTATGTACTGTGTATAATAGATAGTATGAATTAAATAAGTGCTTTTGAATTCAGTAAGTTAAGAGTTGAAATTTTAATCTTACTCAGTGAAACCAGTCACCAGATTGGGGTATTTAATTTAGTATAGTGTTCATTTTACAAATGTGGTTTCTGGGGGCACTGGGGTGCCTCAGTCAGTTGAGTGTCTGACTCTTGGTTTCTGCTCTGGTACTGATCTCAAGGTCCCTTGTGTCAGGCTCCACGCTCAGCAGGGAGCCTAAGATTTTTTTTTTCCTCTCTCCCTCTGCCCTTCCTTCAGCTCATGGGAGTGCTTTCTCTCTCTCTCCCCCTCAAAAAAAATCTTTTTTTTTAAGATTTTATTCATTGATTTGAGAGAGAGCGTGAGAGCATGAGCAGGGAGAGAGGCAGAGCGAGAAGCGGATTGCCTGCTGAGCAGGGAGCCCCACTGCAACTGTGGGGCTCAATCCCAGGACCTTGGGATCATGACCTGAACCGAAGGCAGACGCTTAACTGAG